ATGCTTGGTTTTCCATTCCTGAGTTACTTCACTCAGAATAACAGTCTCTAATTCCATCCAGGTTGCTATGAATGCCATTATTTCATTCCTTTTTATGGCTGAGTAGTATTCCATGGTATATATACCACATTTTCTTTATCCACTTATTGACTGATGGGCATTTGAGCTGGTTACATATTTTTGCAAGTGCGAATTGTGCTGCTATAAACATGCATCTGCAAGCATCTTTTTTGTATAATGACCTTTTTTCCTCTGGGTAGATACCCAGTAGTGGGATTGCTGGATCAAATGGTACACCTACTTTTAGTTCTTTAAGGAATCTCCACGCTGTTTTCCATAGTGGTTGTACTAGTTTGCATTCCCACCAGCAGTGTAAAAGTGTTCCCTTTTCACCACATCCATGCCAACATCTACTTTTTTTTTTTTTAATTATGGCCATTCTTGCAGGAGTAAGGTGGTATTGCATTGTGGTTTTGATTTGCATTTCCCTGATAATTAGTGATGTCCAGAAATGTCCTTATATTTGTTTTAAAACTGGCATTGTAGGGCTGGGCACGGTGGCTCATGCCTGTAATCACAGCACTTTGCGAGGCTGAGGCAGGCAGATCACAGAGTTCGAGACCACCCTGGCCAACATGGTGAAAACCTGTCTCTACCAAAAATACAAAAATTAGCTGGGCATGGTAGCAAGCACCTGTAATCCCAGCTACTTGGGAGGCTGAGGCAGGAGAATCACTTGAACTCGGGAGGCAGAGGTTGCAGTGAACCGAGATTGTGCCACTGCACTCCAGCCTGGGCAACAGAGTGAGACTCCATCTCAAAAAATAAAACAAAACAAAATAAAATAAAATAAAATAAAATAAAACTGTTATTGTACAACATGAAGATATATGGTAAAATTCATTCTAATAACTTAAATTATAATCTTTTCTTTGTTTAGAATGACATTAAACAGCAAACAAAAAATAATATGACAAGTCAAAAGAGAATCACAAAATAAAGGAAAAAGTTTTATTTTAATACTTTTAACAGCACTTTCCTTTTGCTCTTGAACAAAGGGCTCCATACTTCTGTTTTGCATTGGTCCCTGCAAATTACGTAAGTGGCCCCATTCATCAATCTAAAAACTGAAAGGAAGTTTCAGTGAGCATGGGAGACTTTCAATTCTTGCCTTACAGCAGCATGGCAGACATTGACAGTTGCTTACCCTATAACTATTCTCTTTCTGCCTTGCTAACAGAAACCCCATTTTGTTCAGGATGACAATAAGTGCTGTCTAAAAAATAAAGAAAGATTTAAAAATAAAATACTAATTTCTATTATGATTGTGTACTTTCAACTGAATTTATATGTATCGATACATATAGATAGATAGATAGATATGCATTTTTGACATGGATTTTTTTAAAGATATAAAAAATTAAAATACTTTATTTTTTAACAGAGCACATTTCCTTAATTAGTCTCTAATGCATTTATGGAGAACTAAACGACCCAATTCTAGCTAATGAGATGTAAACCAAAGTTTACTGCGTGGGGTTTATGAAAAACCTGTTTTCTTGATTTAAGGAGTAAGAAGCAGACTCAGTTGACATGTACCTTTGCCTTTACTTTTCATCCTTTTTCTGCCTTAAAAACATATTTAATGCCTAGAATTACAGGCCATCTTGAGACATGAGGATGAAAGCTACCTGAAAAGAATAGAAAAACAAAAACACAGAGGACTGCCTACCTCTGAACTTCTTAGAGGGTGAGAAAATAAATCAGGATTTGGGTAAGTCACTACAGTTAGGTTTCTGTTACCTGAGCTGAACACAACCAATCCTTAACCAATACAGACTAGATAACATGAAAACTCTTCTACTACAAATACTTAGAAATGCTGGGTAAAGAGCAGCAAAATAAATAAATTAATTAATAATAATGCATACTTGAGCTTACAAAAAAAAAAAAAGACAGGGAAATATTCAGGTGGCAGAAATAAAAAAATAAACTAGACACCAGGGTCTTGAACACACAATATGACCTCGTCTGGAGTGGGGAAAGGATTGAATGAGGATGGTGCTTGAATGTTTAAATCCATGTGGGGATAAATGGATTTTTAAAATGTGATATATGTATACAATGGAAAACTATTCGGCCTCTAAAAAGAAGGAAATCCTGTCATTTGTGACAACACAGATGAATCTTAAAGACATGCTAAATGAAATAAGCCAGGCACAGAAAGATGAATATTGCATGATCTCACTTAAATGTGGAATCTAAAAAAGTTGAACTCAATAGAAGCAAAGAGTGGAATGGTGGTTAGCAAGCGCTGGGACAGAGTGAGGGAGCTGGATGACGCTGGTCAAAGGATATACAATTTCAGTTACATAGGAGGAATAAGTTCAAGAGATCTATTGTACAACATAGTGACTGTAGTTAACAACATGTTGTATTCTTCACAATCACTAAGAACTGACTTTAAGTGTTCTCACCATAAAAATAAGTATGCGAGGTAATGTATATGTTAAGTTACTCAATTTAGCCATTCCAAGATGTATACATATTACAAATCAGGTTGTATACAATACAGTATATACAATTTTCATTTGTCAATTTTCATTAATTATTATTATTTTTTAAGATGGAGTTTCGCTCTTGTTGCCCAGGCTGGAATGCAATGGCGTGATCTCGGCTTACTGCAACCTCCGCCTCCTGGGTTCAAGTGATTCTCCTGCCTCAGCCTCCCAAGTAGCTGGGATTACAGGCACCCACCACCACACCCGGCTAATTTTTGTATTTTTATTAGAGACAGGATTTCACCATGTTGGCCAGGCTGGTCTCGAACTCCTGACCTCAAGTTATCCACCCACCTCAGCCTCCCAAAGTGCTAGGATTACAGGTGTGAGCCACTGCGCCCGGCCTTTATAATTTTTAAAAATACATGGTAACTTGTGATAAGACCATGGGCCCTTGGTGCAATCAGAAATCAGTTAAGTGTGAGCACACCCTGTCCCCCAACTTCATAACCTCACACACACACACACGTTAAAAACCCATGAAATTCTGTACCCTCAATGAAATGGTAGACTAGATAAAACTCACTCCCTGGCATAGCAAGAAGCTTTTCTGTCATGGCACAAGCTCTGAAAGAGAAAAAAAAAAAAAAAACAAGGCAGATCTATCTCCCTTGAGAATTTGAATCATAGTTTGTACTCCCACTGATCTGGGTTCAAATTTATAATATCTGAATGATCTTAGAACTTCCAAGCCAAGAAAGAAATTCATATAAAAATTGCTCACTAGCCAGTGATAACCTTACGGGTCTCTGACAGAAGAAACATTTTTTTTCTACATCACTAAAAATGAGCCATAAAAAAAAAAAAAAAAACACGAAAAGGAATCAATGTACAAAGCAAAAGGAATCAATCCACAAAGAATAAAAGTCATCAAATATACAAATATAAGTGTTAGACCCCTAAATGCAAAAGGATTTATCTATATGATACCATTTATGCAGTTTAAAAATATAACATAGTAGTACCCTTTATAGATAACATACAAATTCAGTGAAAGTACAAAAACAATAGATATTAATCATACCAATTTAAAAATAGTGGCTAACTCTGGGCAAGGAATAGTGTCAAGAAAAGCCTGAAGAATTGATCCAGACTGAAGGAGAACTGAGCAACATGCCAACTGGATGCAGCACATGATCTTTCTTGGCTGGGATGTTTTTGCTGTAAAGACATTGGAATAATTGGCAAAGTTTGAGTGGGGTTTCTAGGCAAAGGGTACACAGAAGTTTTTGTACTATTCTTGCAACAGTTTTCTTAGTTTGTAAATTGTTTCAAGTTAAAAAAATTGTTTTTAAAAAGAGGATAAAAATGAGAAATAGGAAACAGTTTCAGAGAAGAAATTGCCAGAATAGATCAATTGGTGGTGGGAAATAAGAGGAAATAATCAAAGGGGACTCTGATTTCTGGCTTAGGTGATTTGGTGTGTATGATTCAATTTATCAATATAGGAAACCCAAGAAAAGAATTTTCAGGAAAAGCAAACTACAACAGACTTGCCACTGGAAATATTGAATCTATGGATAAATAGGTAGTTGGAAATGGAGGTTGGGGGTGATGGTGTCACAAAAGAGCTTAGCACTGTAAACATCTTGATTTGATTACTTTCTTCACTTACTAAATCATTTGGGAATTCACTATGTTTCCAGTGCAAACCATAAAATATATAAAAATAAATAGGAAATGGACACTGCCCTTAAGGGACTCATATCTGGTAAGAGAAATAGAATCAATCTGTAGGCAAAGGGTAGAGAGTGATGGAGCAAGTTCTAGAGGGTGACAAGTTAGTTCTCAACCTTGGTCACTCATTAAAAACACCAAGAGGAACTCCTAAAACATCCCAATGCCCAGTCTGCACTCTAGGACTGGATCCAGGCATCAGTGGTTGCTTAAACTCTCCAGGTGATGCCAATGTGCAGCCAAGATTAAGGGATCAGTGGCTCTACTCAGAACACCTGAGGCAACTATTCCTTTGAAACATTTGGCAATGATGGAGGAAAGAGTGTGGAGAGAACAGGAGGTGGAAATAAGGAAATTTGATTCAAGAGGCTTCTACCAAACAGAGTGATGATTTATACTTTCTCTGTAAAGAAAGCGAATCAGCTGGGCGCGGAGGCTCACACCTGTAATCCCAGCACTTTGGGAGGCTGAGGCAGGCGGATCACTTGAGGCCAGCAGTTCGAGACCAGCCTGGCCCACATGGTGAAACTCTGTCTCTACTAAAGATATAAAAAACTAGCCGGGCGTAGTGATGCATGCTTGTAATCCCAGCTACTTGGGAGGCTGAGGCAGGAGAATCTTTGAACCCAGGAGGCAGACGTTGCAGTGAGCTGAGATCACACCATTGCACTCCAGCCTGGGTGGCAGAGCAAAACTGTCTCAAAAAAAAAAAAAAAAAAAAAAAAAAAAAAAAAGGTATCAAAGGCTAAGAATAAGGATATATGAAAATAAGGTAAGTGTTTTATGGAGAATGGGGAAACAGGATTACAGCTACAGAGCGTGCAAAAGAAAGAAGTAACACTGTTGTTTTTCCAAGCCTGGGAAGATGGAAACACTTGAGGATGAGGATTCAGGTACACCACCGTGTCCACCATTAAAGGGGAAATTTATTATTATTATTATTATTTTTTTTTTTTTTTGACACAGCGAGGGTTTTTACATTCCCAGACCAGGGTGAAAAATCCGCTGTGATCCAACAAAGCCCCTACTCTGTGCTTGGCAGCCAATCAGCCACTGTGGGATGGTGACCTGAGAGTCCCGGACCTCATCCTGATGCCCCCATCTGGAGACTCTCGGGACACAGCAGGTGTGGCGTCTGGGATGTACTTTATTGGACAGTGGTGGCCCAAGTTTTGGTCTGGAAGCACTGGGGCTCTGGACCCCGGCACTGAGTTTGAGGAGGCCCGGAGTTCAGGGCTGTTTGGAGCGAGACCACAAGCGGCTGGTGAGGGAGCCGAGGAAGAGGTTCTGCTTCTTGGACTTGGAGAGCTCGGCCAGGCGCCGCTGCTCCTCCTGCTCTAGCCGGCTTTGCTGCTGTTTGAAAGCTGCCAGCGGATCATCCTCCAGGGCGTAGTGCTCCAGTATGTTTCGCACGTCCTCCACACCGTTCAGTGCAATAGTCTTGAGGAAGGCAGACAGGTCCAACAAGACCCGGTCATCAGGGTTGCCGTCCCAGGGCTGCAGGGCGACGCCATTATAGGGCTGCAGGCGGAAGGCTTCCTTCTTGCAGTTCACAACTACTACTCGAGCTGGGTCCCGATTCAGACATGAAATGTCCTTAACATGGTGTCCATTCATGTATCTTGTGGCTTCCCGGAATAGGCGGTAGGAGATGAAGCCGTGGGGGTCCACGCTATCAATGAGTGGAAACGTAGTCATGCCAGTCTCTGACGTAAAGATGACAATTTCATATAAAGGGGTGAGCTGCTGGAACAAGGTCTCGATGCCTGGGCGCTTCTTAAACCTCCAGCCAGTGGCCAGCGACCACTCAGGATGCAAGAGGACGCCGGTGAGCTCCAAAACGAGCGTGTAGGGTGGCTGGTAGTACGGCTCCTGCAGTGGGTCTGGGAGAAGGCAAGGGCCGGTGGGCTTGATGATCATCTGTCTATAATCTTTGAAATATTTGTATGTCCGGCGCAACTACTGTACCAGAATTGGATCATTGTGGAACTCATGAGGAATCTTGGCACCATTTTCGTCCACTGGGTTGTTTCCAAAGATATAGACGACGCTCACGGTCCCACCAGCTCCAAGCAGCCCAGCAAGCCAGAGCGCAACTTTTTTGGCATAGCTGGGACCCTCTGAGCCTGGCTGCTGCTGTGGCCCTTGTGCCTTAGTGCCCCCGCGTCTCCCGATCTCTGCGGCCTGATCTGGGGCCCGGAGGGGCGGCGTCGCCAACCTCGTGCACAGTCCCAGCGAGCCGAGTCGGAGCCCGCTCCGCAAGCGCGAGAACAGCGCTGCTGAGGCAGCCATCTTGCCAAGGGGAAATTCTTTAATGGGGGTCACGGTGGTGTGATCCTTTTATAGAGACGAGCATAGGTTACGGCAAATATACCTACTTTAAAAACAGCGCTCTGGGAAGAGGGTAAGTGCTTTTCCACATAAAGACCTAAAATAGACAATAAATGAGAAATAGGATTTTTTTATTATAAACTTATTTTTCCATATTTCTGGAAAATTAGAGACATGGAGTATTTCAAAGCTGGGAGATTCCATTATATTGGAGTTACCTTAGAGAGGGGGCTGTTTCTGCCACAACAAAGAATGAAACAACACAAATATTTACGTTTTCTTCTTGTCCTCATAATGCTTTTACTGCACTCGTCTTTTCACATCTATTGCATCTGTGACTGTGGTTTCAGTGAAACACGGAAGCCTGAATGTGAGCTCATTTCATTGCCTGCTGCACAACCACACAAAACAGAGAGAGCATTTTCTTATTCTTGAAATATGATAGCAACGTCTCCTTCCATGCTTGTACCTGTTTTAATTCCTTTCAAGCAGAGGCTGTATCGTGAAGCATGCTTAAGAAGTTAATTGGAATGACAGGATTTGGAACGGATGTCACATCATATTCTCATTTGTTATTAAAATTAGTCACGCTTAATTGTTAAGGGGTATGCTGTGTCGCTCGCCATCTTTGTGTCCTCCACCTGGCACTTTGCTTTCACACAGTAGGCACGTAGTGTTGAGGTCCTGGAAGGTTGTCAAGTAACCGACCGGGAGCTTGAGGGCAGGACACTGTCTTGTTCAGCGTGGTATCTCCGACACTCGATTCAGTGCCTGGCACACAGGAGGTATTCAGTTATGCTAAATGAATGAGCAACCGGCTCGGTGGGGGACAGTAAATCCAACCCTATTCCGCAAACGTTCGCTGTGCGGCATCCAGGCCTCAGGGACCAAGTGTGTCGCGCGGTGCCATACTGTGACTGGGACCTGTCAGTTCAAATTTCCAGATATTGTAATTCTATGCTGTAATTCCTATATTTACTTTTAAAACAAAAAGAGAAATGTGCATCGCGTTCGCTCTGGGTTCTCGGAGGTTAAGTGCAAGCACGCAGAGGCGCCGAGACCCTGCGGCTCTCCCTCGCCGCTTCCTCCACAGGAGCCGGGCGGAGCTCCCAGCGCGTCCCGGGGCTGCGCCGCCGCAATCCTCAAGGGGTCGCTGTTCCCGCGATAACCTCGAGAAAGGCTCCACCCCGCGGCCCGCGCTCGCTTCCCCCTTGGGGCCTGGCTCCACACTGCCGGGTTGCCGGTCCATCTCCGGCTAGCCCACGGGGCCCATCGTCGACGTTAGCGGCCGCTCTCCGGACCGACTGACCCATCCTTGGCGCCGCCGCCGCGGGCGCTCGTTCTCCTCCCTCGCCCCGCCTTCATCCACCCCTTTCACGGAAACGACAGCTGCGGCGGCGGGGCTGGCGCCGCCTCCCTCCACCTACCACGTCTGCCCTCGCCGCTGTAGCCCTGCGTCCCAGCCCGGCCGCGGCGCCTCCGCCTCGCCGCCGCTAGGTCAGCCGGCTCCGCCGGGCTGCCGCCCAGGATGAACATCATGGACTTCAACGTGAAGAAGCTGGCGGCCGACGCAGGCACCTTCCTCAGTCGCGCCGTGCAGGTACCCTCGTGCTGGGGGGAAAAGGGGTGGCGGCGCCAGGGAAGGTTGAGGGAGGGGACCCCAGCCCGACGCAGCGCCCCTGGCCTCGCCGACCACCCAGCGGGCCTGCTGCAGCCAGAGGCCTAGGAGATGGGCGCGGCCTGGTCCCCTCCCCGGGCCCGGCGGCGGTTTTCTGTCCCGCTCCTGCCCAACCGCCGCTCCACGGGAAGCGAGGCGGGGTGGGGCCGGCCGGGAGCTTCCTCCCACCCCAGCACGACACTAAGGCTGCACTGTCCGCCTTTAATCCCACGACGCCAGTGCTCCACCCCGGGGCTGGCGGAGGCTTACGAGTCCGTTGGGGTAATCGAGACACTGGCCATTGCTGCACAACCCCCCACCCTTTCCTTTCGTCTCTCACTCTCCCCTCCGAGTCCAAGAAGGGAGTTTCCTTTTCCTGTCCTTCAACCCAGAGAGCTGCCAACACAGTTTCCTCCGGCCCTCTTTCTCCCTGAAAGGACTGTCCTGGGCTTGGCAGCCCGCGGGGGAAATGGAGATCACCAGTTGGCGTTGAGGCTTTGCCAAGACCACGAGAAACCTAGGGTTGGGGGGTTCTCACTCTTTTTCAAAATGGGAAGCACCGGCTGTAGATCAAGGAGAGATGCGGGGAAATTTTTATGGCTATAGTCACACTAGTATGTTTCAAATACACTTTAAGGGAAGAAGTTGACCACCTCTCGATATTCTGCAATCAAGGAAGTGTCAGTACTAAGGAACTTGGGCCGTTTCCCACAGTCATCACCCACATTATGCCAACTCAGTAAATCTGTGAACAGATGTAAATTTCACAACATGAATTGTAAACAATCTGTTGTTTAAGTTAATGGCATAGTCACGGTAGCAACAACTTTCTCTTTTGTAAAAAGAAAACAAAAATAATTTTCTAATATGCATACCAAATTGGTGCTGAAATGTAAATCTGTTCTGTGGCTTTACTACTTTCCTTGCCTTTGCCCCAATTTTGTTGGCACAGTTGATCCTACATTGCACTATCCCTGGCAAAAGAATAGTAGAGCTAGAGCAAGGTGATAGCTGCCTGTATTATGAAAAACCTGTGAAGCACTTCGCAATGCATTTGACATATCTCCAGTCTTTTCCATAACTTTGCCAGATAGATGTTATTAACCCCTTTTATATATGTGAGGAAGCACCCTTACTGAGGTTAAGAAACTTACACAGCTAGTAAATAACCAGGTGCTGTCTGACCTAGTACTCCAAGCTGCTTTTTCTTCCGGGATAAGCATTCCAGATTTAAGATAGCTAGAATAATAGAATGTTGTGGCCTAGAGAGACCTTAAAAATCATCTGGTACAATCTGAGCATTTCCATATCAACAAGCAAGTAACACTTTAGAGATGGGAAATTCCTTCTAGCTTTTGATTTCTAAGTTCTAAAATCTGCATGGTGAGTAATAAGCTAGCTGCCTTAATCCTTTTCTTCCCTTCCTTCCCTAAAATATGATATATTGTAAAGACATTGAACCTTTATAGTTAAAATAATGTTTTGATTTAAATTCACTAGCTTCTAATAGTTCAAAGACAAGGTGCAAGAAGAATGAGTGATTGAGGGTCTGAAATGAATTCTGATGTGTGAGACACTTGTACACTTTTAACATTGACTGCAATAGAGGACTAGAGCCTGTGGTTTTTTTTTTTGTCCTAGTGCTCATTACCTGTAATTCTAGATGCTTATGAGGATTTGACACTATATAATACTACTCTTTTAAATACAGTTAAATATGTTTCAGACATATAATTCACACCCCTTAAAGAGGACACATTTACTAGAATTTAGTCTGATTTAAATTGTGGATAGACTCGATTTAAAAAATTAAATCTAGCAAAGCTCTCAAAATGTGTACTTCCCAAAGAATTTTAATTCCTTGTTTCAAATTCCTTAGGAAAAAGTTTTAAAATTTTTGCTAATCTGTTAGCCATCAAATAATTTTCTTTTCAGTCTTAAATATTTAAGTGTCTACTGCATGTCTGCTTGCGGCTACTATGGGCACTGGTGATACAGCAGTGAATAAAATCAGCAAAGTGTCTGCCCTCCTGAAGCTTACATTGTAGCAGAAGATAAGCTTGTAAATACATCAGGTGGTGATAAAAATCATGGCCAGAAGAATAGAATAACGGCAGGGATGGTGGTTGTTAACATCTTTATTAGTATTTTCTAACATTAGTATTGTGGTATAGATAGGATGGTCAGGGCAAGTCTTTCTAATAGGATGAAATTCAGGAGACCTCAAGGAAGAGACAGACCTAATTTTTTTGGAATAAAAGTATTTCAGGCAGCAGGAAGAAGTACAAAGACTGAAGTTACAGGGGCATTAAAGAGACCAATGAAGGAACTGTGGACATAATACAGGTAGAAGGCGATTGTAACTTAGATTACAGTGGTAGCAGTGAAGATTCCAAATTATCCAGTGAAGGTTCCAAATTATCCAGTATTGGCTGTTGGATTGGCTGAGAGAAAGATGAGTCAAGGATGACTCCAAGGTTTTGGCTTGAGCCATTCATTAAGGGAAAAATTTTTGGAGAAACAGGATCCTTTAATATGTCCGCAGCTGTTAGAGATACATACTGAAATATTTATGGATAAACTTATACCATATCCGAGATTTGGTTTTTGTAGGTTTTTTTTGTGTTTTATTTTTTATTTATTTTGAGACGGAGTTTCGCTCTTGTTGCCCAGGCTGGAGTGCAACGGCGCAATCTCGGCTTATTGCAACCTTTACCTCCCCAGTTCAAGCGAATCTCGTATCTCGTCTTTCAAGTAGCTGGAATTACAGGCATGAACCACCACGCCAAGCTAATTTTGCATTTTTAATAGAGATGGATTTTCACCATGTTGGTCAGGCTGGTCTTGAACTCCTGACCTCAGGTGATCCACCTCCTTCAGCCTCCCAAAGTGCTGGGATTACAGGCGTGAGTCACCACACCAGTTGAGATTAGCTTTTGAATATTTCAGAAGAAAAAAAAAACAGAGGTCACTGAAACAACATTAACAGAATGTTGATAGTTGTGGAAGGTTGGTTATGGGTTCATGAGGTTTCATTGTACTGTTACACTTTTGTATGTTTGACATTTTCCACAATACTTTTTTAAAGATAAAATTTGTAAGAAAAAAAAGGATGCTTCTAAAACAGAATGTGTGAAATTTCGAATGCTATGTGGTGGTTTTCAACAAAACACTGCTTTCTCATCTCAGTATTTATTTCGTCCCTGAGTTTCTATATTAAATTGGATTGACATCAGTATAATGCCAAAGTACCAAGTTGCATGCTAAGAATAGCTTAAGAGCTATGCCAGTATCTCTTTATAAGCAGTAAGAATAGTAGAGAATTAAACGTTCATGTTTATAAATAATAATTTTCATTCAAATCAAATTGTACCCTAAGGAATATGCCAATCTTTGGTTGGCCAATGCCATACATTGTTTTCCATTTTACTTAAAAATTCCTAAGTTAAAAATTAAACATGTTTCTTGTTTTAAAAAAAGGTCAGATCAAACTAGTAAAGCACATAGATGAGTCCCATCACCGTTCCACTTCCCTCCTTTTAAAATTTGTTTTTAAGCCTTGGTACTTTAAAAAGAATGTTAAACTAGAATGTATAAATGAGTAGGAATGTTTATTCTTAACTAGCCCATTTGGGTGCTTGTTTTTAAGTACCTCAAGATGGTAAAATACAAAAGTATCAGGTAATTCACCCTTGCTTAATTGTTATTTTACTAGAGTTTTAAATGCCATTTGTTCTTAGAATCCATCTTTTTAGTCCAAACTTCTTAGTTGAGCATTAAATACTCCCTTACAATCTGGTTCTTTCTCTCACTTATATAAACACTGCATTCCAAATTATTTTTTAATTTCCAAAATATCTTGTACTTATTTTAGGCTTTTGTTCATATAGTTAAACTCCTCTTAAGTGTCCTGTCTGCTTATTCTTTCCTTTCCTTAAGATACAACTTTATTCATCTCCAAAATGGAGAGAGTAAAAAAAAAATTAAAAAATAAAAGTAAAATACAGAAACTTTTTTGAAGATATAGCTTTAAATCCATCTCAGCTAATAAGGCTTCTTAGACCACAAGAGCTTGCTGTGAAATCCTGAATCATTTTCAATTCCGAATGAATAGGTGGCACTTTTCTTCTAATGAACTATTGTGTTAGATCTCTTGGAACTCTAAAATTCTGTTACTCTTTCACATCATTAATAAGTTTGTATGTGCTAAGGCATCAACTCTGTTTCTTATTCCCCTCTCACAACATCTAACATGGTTCATTTTAACTTTTATATCATTTTAGCCAGGCAAATTACTATCCATATGTGAAGTTTAATCTTTGAAGGGCAACAATAAGCATGTTAAATAACAGTATCTTTATTAGAATTTTCTAACATTGTGTTTGCTGACCTTGAAATTAACTAATACCAGTATAAAATAATAAACCATTCAACCTGTATTTAAATTGAGTACCTCCTAGGTGCTTGGTGTTGAAAGATACAAAGCTGAATGAGACCCTGTTCCTGCCCTCAAAGACTTCATAGTAATAATCTCAAATTTGTCATAAATATTCTTTGTAGTAAATAGCCATTTTGTGAATAACTCTTTATTTGATAAATCTT